CCCAGTTGTTGATTCTTTGTGCTAGTTCCCATGCTACTGAGGATTTGTTCATAAAGTCTTTTCCTATGCCAGTATCTTCAAGAGTTCTGCCTAACTTATCTTCCAAAAAGTTTAGTGTTTCTGTTTTAATATTTAGATCTTTGATTCACTTCTATTTTAGTTTAGTGCATGGTGAAAAATATGGGTCTAGTTTTAATCTGTAGCAGGTTGAAATCCAGTTTTTCCAGCACCATTTATTAAAGAGGCTATCTTTCCTCCAGTGAGGGTGGTTGGTGCCTTTGTCAAAGATGAGATGTCTGAGTGTGTCTGGAGTTGTGTCTGAATCTTCTGTTCTATTCCACTGATCCTCAGGTCTGTTTCTTTGCCAGTACCATGCTGTTTTTATCACAGTGGCTTTGTAGTATAGTTTCAAGTTGAGGATTGTGTTATGTCTTGCCTAGAATTGCTTTTGCTATTCTAGGTCTCCACTGTTTCCAAATGAATTTTTGCATTGTTTTCTCTAGTTCTGTGAATAATACTGTTGGGATTTCAATTGGGATTGCATTGAATCTGTATAGCAGTTTTGGAAGTATGGCCATTTTCACTATATTGGTTCTTCCTACCCAGGAACAGGGGATGTCTTTCCATTTTCTCATATCCTCTTCGATCTCTTTTTTCAGAGTGCTATAATTCTCAATTTAGGGGCCTTTTGCTTCCTTCATTAGATTCATTCTTAGATATTTCATTTTTTTGGATACTGTTATGAAAGGAATTGTTTCCCTAATTTCTTTCTCAGTGAGTCTGTTATCTGTGGACAAGAAGGCTATTGATTTTTGAGTGTTGGCCTTGTATCCACCTACTCTACTGAATCTGTCAATGAAGTCTAGAAGTCTTTTGGCAGAGTTTTTTGGGTCTTCTATGTAGGGTATCATATTGTCAGCAAATAATGATAGTTTAACTTCTTCCTCTCCTATCTTTATTCCTTGTATTTCTTTCTCTTTTCTAATTGCTATGGCTAATGTTTCCAGAACTATATTGAACAGGAGTGGTCAATGTATTAATTTCTTGTTGACAGCAATTGGGATTGACCCAGACTCTTGTGCATGTTAGGCATGTAAGCAAAAGCTCTACCACTGAACTACACCACAACACCCTCTTTATGAGGCAGGGTCTCACTAAGCCACCCAGGTAGGCCTTGAATTTGTAGTCCTCCTGCCTGAGTCTCTTGAGTAGCTGAGATTACAGATATGTGTCCCAGGCCCAATCAATATATTAATTTCTGTGTAGTGGCTTAGAAATTAACAGTGGAAATTACAGAAGGAAAGACTGTTCAAACTTAATGGGGAAAGATCTGTAATTCTTGTTCTTGCATAGAAATAACCTGACCGTGATGGATGCTGTGATGGTCCAAGGACAAGGAACAACCGAGAACTTGAGGGTGGCAGGCAAGCTTCCAGGTCCAGGAAGCTCCTTACGCTTTAAAATCACAGAAGCATTGTTAAAGGATTGTACAGACGGTGAGTATTCCCAGCAGTGCCCACAGCACAAATTTTATCATTTACTTTTAACAGCAAATAATGCCAAAAACAAGAACAGTGTTTCTGTTTGTGCATATCTGTGTATCAGTGAGGAACGCTTACGATTTTAAAGATATCCTGTATCATCCATTCAGGGTTGTTTGACATGAATCTTTAAAGATAGAAAGTGTCACTACTTGTGGCGTACTCTTAAGTACAAAAAGTAAAACAGTAAAATTTGCCATCCTGATGAAACCTGAGAAGTGATTGACTTCTTTGGCTTGTGTGGGTGGTTCATAATCTCTGGCAAAGATTATATATTGAATGTATGTAATGTATAATGTACTATTGTGATAGCAAGATTTAGCCTCACTCTTGGTTTATTTTTCCTTTAGGTCTGAAACTAAGAGAACCAAATTTCACATTGAAAAGAACTTTTAAAGTAGAAAATACAGGACAACTTCCAATCCACATAGAAACCATTGAAATCAGTGGATATGCATGTGAGGGCTATGGCTTTAAAGTTGTTAATTGTCAAGAGTTTGCACTAAGTGCCAACGCCTCTAGAGACATAGTCATATTGTAAGTATTTTCTCAGTGTGCAGTATACTGATGAACTTCTGTCATTCAGTCCTGTGCAAAAATACATTTTCATATTTGCAAAATAAGAGATCATTATCAAATGTATTCATTTGATTTTTTTCATATAATCTTCAGCTAATATAAGCTTTATATTTGTTTTTTAAAATTGTCAAAATTCTCAGTCTTCAAAGTGGATCAGATAATCTTAGAAACCAATTTCAAAATTATTCTCAGAGCTGTTAACACCTAAAATGCTTTTATGAAGTCTACCTTGGCCACAATGCAGGTTGAGTGTAAATAATAGGTAATACTTCAGTCAGAAGACAGTTTTAATGCCTATATCAGTAATAGTTACAGCACATTTTAACAGTTAATTGATTACTTGTTTTGCTACAAAGTTTATGTAAGAAAACCTCTCTCCCCTTAATTGAATAATAATTTCATGATCTTAGTACATCCAAACCATAGTGCTTGACACCTAGAAGTACACGAAGGAATAATACCATTTTCCTCCAAGTGCCTAAAGTAAGCAAAACATAAAACACTTGTAACAATAAGCAGTACTGCGGGAAATAACAAAAACTCACAAAGGCTAGGGATTTTAAAGCATTATTGGCAGTGTAGCCTAGATAAAAGAGAAAGGAAAGGAAAAAATAAGGAAAAGCTCAGACTACTTTCTTTCTTTTTTTTTTTTTGGTACCAGGGATTGAACTCGGGTCCTTGAGCTTGCTCAGCAGGCGGCGAAACCACTGAGCTAAATCCCTGGCCCTACTTTCTGTATTAATATTGAAAAGCTGATGGTTGTTGTTCTTTTTTTTTTTTTTGGTACCGGAGATCGAACTCAGGTCCTTATGCTTGCGCAGCAGGCGGCGAAACCACTGAGCTAAATCCCCGGCCTGGTTGTTCTTCTTTATGTAATTTCCCAATCACTCCATAGAACACAGGTGTACATTAACCTCATGGGACAACACTTACTTCATCTTAAAATGAGGAAGTTGAATAAAAAGTCACACTCAGGTTCTTATTTCCAAGACTTATAGTTCTGATCTGCTTATCATCTCTTTTCAGACTTTAGCCTTACTACTGTCCTTCTGTCTTAGGTTTACCCCTGACTTCACCGCTTCTAGAGTTATTCGTGAATTAAAGTTTGTAACAACCAGTGGCTCTGAGTTTGTGTTCGTATTGAATGCGTCCCTCCCGTACCACATGTTAGCAACCTGTGCAGAAGCCCTGCCCAGGCCTAACTGGGAACTAGCTCTGTACATCATCATCTCAGGAATAATGAGGTACTTGTGTCTTCTTTGGAGGTTGGTATTCATTTGTCACTGGACACTGCTTATCACGTGTCTGCTAGGTCCCAGTCACTGTTAAGTGCTGGGACACAGCAACAGCAAACAGACAGAACTCTGCCTTCACAACACTCACCTACTGGTGTGGGTCATTGAACCAAACCCTTCTTGGGTGCAGTATACAAAAACAGGTTTTTTTAACCACTGAACTTTGTTACACAAATGAAGTACATATTAATTTCATAAAGGAAAAATACCTATAATTTACCAGATAAAGTTACTTGATTTACTTAACATAATTGTGTGCCTCAGCAACATGACAATGATTAGAAATATTTTTTAAGTCCTCGGGATCCTTTTTTCTTCAGTATATCTCATTATGTGCTTCAGATAATCAAATATAATTTATATAGTTACCTAACATACCCTTTAAAGTAAAAAGAGCCCCAGAGTTGAAACTCACATTCCTCTCAGTAAAGAAAAAATTATCCTCCAGGTGTTTCTTCTGATGAAATAACTATTTCCTTCATATAAAGTCTCTGTGTAAGATGGCATCTTATAGATTTTCATCCAAAACAATTTTTTTTTTGTCTTGTTCATTAAAAACGGTCCTAAACATCTCTTTTCTTTATGTTGTAGTGTACGTTACCAAAAACTCTGCATTTACTACAAGAGTACATTTTGGTACTCTTGTGCTAACAATCCTGATTCTCCTCCGCCTTTTACCCCTGCAGTGCACTCTTTCTCCTGGTCATTGGAACAGCCTATTTGGAAGCTCAAGGAATCTGGGAGCCATTTCGAAGGCGACTGTCTTTTGAAGCTTCAAATCCACCCTTTGACATGGGAAGGCCATTTGATCTCAGGAGAATCGTCGGCATTTCATCTGAAGGAAAGTACGTTCACATGATACAGTCAGTTCTCTAGTATACATAGATCTGGCTGACATAGTTACAAGAAAAAGTGATGTCTTCTGTTCATCTTTGCTTAAGAGGGTAAAAAAGAAAACCTATAATCCTAATTACTCAGTAATACGTACTCTGTGTACAGCACTCACTCACTAAGCACTCATGCCACATGTATCTTTACCACATTGGTACAGATTAAGTGTTAGAATACTGACTTGATTTAGAAGTTTTCAGGTAGAATAGACCCTGGAAGATTGTGGCAATTATTCCTGTCTCTTGCTGGTTTTTTCCTCAGTTTCTTTTTGTGATGGCCATACTGGTGAAAGAAATTCAATATTAGATTCTGTGGGTTGCTGTTTACTCATCTGAAATTGGTTCTTTTTTCAGCTTGAACCTCGGCTGTGACCCCAGTCATGGTAGAGGCTTCTGTGGAGCAGGTGGCTCATCATCCCGACCTGGTGCAGGGAGTCACAAGCAATGTGGCCCATCGGTCCACCAGCACAGCAGCCACAGCAATAGAAATTCAGCTGACGTGGACACCATCAGAGCCAAAAACAGTTCCAGTACCTCAAGCAGGACTTCTGCACAAGCAGCCTCCTCACAGTCTATGGGCAAAGCAAGTCCCCTTATCGTAGAGGCAAATGCAGTGACCCAGGGCCACACAGCAGGCAGAAAGTCCAAAGGGGCAAAGCAGAACCAGCATAGTGGCCAGCACCATGGCCACAGCCCACTGGAGCAGCACTCGCAGCCACCACCACCACCACCGCCAGTGCCTCAGCACCAGGAGCCACAGCCTGAGCAATTGTCACCCGCCCCCCTTACACACCCTTCCCACCCAGAACGTGCCAGCAGCACAAGGCACAGCTCAGAGGACTCAGACATCACCAGTCTCATTGAAGCCATGGACAAAGACATCGACCACCAGGACTCCCCACCCCTAGAAGTGTTTACAGAGCAGCCTCCATCGCCACTGTCAAAAAGCAAAGGTAACCATCACCTATTCCCTCTAACAGGAAAGCAGACACTCTCAAGGGCTGTTGGGATTGCAGTCAGGAGGAACAGCTGCCCTGGGGGTGTTCTCTGGCTCAAGTTCATGTCCACTGTCAGACATCAAATTCCTTATCACGCTGCAGATAGAGGTATCCATTGGTCATAAAAGATAGATTTGGATTTTCTTAGATTCTCAAACTCAGAAATTTGTTGGACATCTACTGTTTTCCTTTTCAGCTGCCTGTGATTAAGGAATTGTGATAAAGAGCTTTTTGGTTGTTGTTGTTAAAATAATTTTGGACAGAGTAGTAAAATGGAGATCATCTGCCTTTTTTAACTCAAAAATAGGATTCCCACCCAATCTTTACCATAGAGCAGGAGTTGACAAGCTGCAGCCACAGGCTAGAAACCCCCCACCCCCACCCTACTTCTGGAAATTGTACTGGAACACAGCCGTGGTGGTTTGCATATGGGTTGTTGATGGCTGCTTTCATGCTTCCACAGAGTAGTTGCCACAGAGACAGCACGGCCCACAGAGCTGAAAGTGTTAGTGTCTGGCCATTTACAGGAAAAGTTTGCTGAACCCTGCTTTAGAGTTCTGCATACTGCCTTGGTTAACTCTTTCAGAGAAACTGACTACCCCAAAACCCAGTGGCTCTCACCAGACTGGAGCCAGATGTCCTGGCTGGGCTGAAGTCATCTCCAGGCTGACCTGCCAACACTTCCTGGCTCACTGAGGTGGTTGACTGCAGATTCTGTTCTTCACAGGCACAAGGTGCAGTCTAAGGGCCCTGCTTTCCTTGTCACCTATGGCAGAAGCCTGTGGTGGCTCCTGTTCATCAGGCAGTCACAGTTGGTAGTTGGCCTCTCCAGAATGAGCAAGCAGGAGTGCAAGAGAGAACAAAAGCTGGCAGAATGGAAGCCAGTTTTCTGGGACCTACTATGGGAGTGGCATCCCATCAGTTCTTGTGTTTTGAGACAGGGTCTATGTACTCCAGGCTGGCCTTAAACTCACTGTATAGCCCAAGCTGGCCTCAGCTTTGCAGTGATCCTCCTGCCTCAGCCTCCTGAGTATTGGGATCACAGGTGTACAACACCATACCCGGCTAGCATCCCATCAATTTTGTAGTGTTCTGCTCATTAGAGGTATAGTCTGACCCAGAAAAGAGTACTCCACAAGGGCATGAATATCAGGAGGTGGGGATCATCGGGCACCATCTTAGCTGTCTGCCTACTACACGCAAATAGGTAACTTCCAACCAAAGTGAAGAGTACTAGGTAGTGGCCTCCAGTTGTATCTCAGTGTTAGCCCTTTACAGCTTGGATTTTAAGCCTTCTCTTCTCTCCAGAGGCAGTGTGTTAATATATATTACCCTGAGCCTGTTTAAGCAGCTCTGTCACTGATCACCAAGCAGTTTCTGCCTTTGGTTCACACACTGAACAGGGAGCTTGGTGCCCCTAGGAGAGCAAAGGAAATCTGACATCACAGAGTCTAAACTGCTTTTAAGAATCTCTTCGTCCCAGTGATATGAAAACTAGCTATGCTGACTCCTTCAAATCACATACATCTGTGTTACTTGTTAAAAAAGTAAAATATCTTGAACATTGTTAACTTCTACAGAATCCTCTTTTGATTAACTTAATAGAATTTACATATTTTAGGATAATTTTTATAGTAATATTAGGTGAGTGCTTAAAAGCTCTTTTTTAAAAATCAGATCAAGTTACATGGTTTTCCCTATTCCGGAAGTAATTAAACTATCCTTTATTATCAGGAAAAAAGAGTTGGACAGTCAAGTTAAATATCTCATTACATGTGTCTGAAATAAGCTTCTCACATGATAGGTACACTTTTGTCCTCAGGGCCTTTCTTTTGAAACTAAAAATGGGAAAAAAAAAAGTTTTTCTTTTTTAAATTTCGTAGTAGCCCCACAGTGGACCTACTAAAAGATACTTCATGATGGAGCACGGGCAGCATGTTGCCAGTGACATGTGAGCCCATTGAGAGACAGCAGTGACATGCTTCACATGAGTGGCCACACTCCTTTGTTTTCCTTCCCAGTGCTGCTGTTTAGAAAGAAAGAAAAGAACCAGAACATATTTTTTTTTCTTCAGTAAGTGTTTTATTAAAATATATATGTAGAAAATCAGTCTTTACAATGAACCTTAGAGCCGGAGGTGTGGCGCAGCGGTACAGCGCTAGCCTAGTATGTGCAGAGCCCTGGGTTCCATCTCCAGCATCACCATCCCCAAGAAAAGATAGCCATTGATCCTGGACTGCAGAATATCACAAGCCCTTAGTCTCTTGGCTTTCTAATTTGCTAGCCCCCACACCTGCGTGTATGGTCCTCGCATTTACCTGATAGATGAGCATTCTGTTGTTCGACACAACCTAGTCTTACCCTCCACCCACCCAGTATCTCAGACAAATCTTGTTCCTTATGTTGAGCTTAGGTCTAGCTTTTGCAAGCCATCCAGAGTGGCCTCTCTCCCAGTTAATGTGATGAGCTCCCTGAGCTGCCCTTTCTTGTTGGACAGCTTTCAGGCTCTCCAACCACTCTCTCATCCTCCCTCCAGTTGCTTCCTGGCAGAAGGGGAACAGAAATGCCCTTCGTATATTGTTGGCCTGTCCAGGGATCGTGTAGCTGGACAGTCATGAGATTCTGTCCTGTGGTTTCTCCCACTTGGAACACTTAACGTTCTGTGGCCCGGATAGAGGACATGCTGGATTGAAGGCTAAAGCCCAAAATAGCTCTGAACCTGCCACAGTCCATTCTCAATGTCTGCAGTAACTGCAGTCGTTCTCATTGCAGGTTTGGCACGCTGTGGCTTTATTGAAGGCAAGGAGTGACATAGTGATACCACATCAGGAGGCCAGGCCTGACCATCAGACACGCCCAGATTAAATCCTGGCTCTACCACTTAGGAACTATGACTTTTAGAGAAAATTACTCCTCTGAGCCTCCACTTGTCACCACTTCTACTGTAGGTTGTTGCCACCGTGATGGTTACTCTTAGGACAGGAAATAGCACAGACAGGCTATAGCCTCTGCTGAGTTGAAGCCGGCTGTGGAACATCCTGGCAGAATTGTCTGCTCAGAACTTGGTCTTAAGAGTGAGAAGTGGGGCAAACAGGGGCTAAAGACAGACTCCCAAGGGCAAGGCTGGCACGAAGGCAGCCAGCAGCCTGTGTGACAGAGGGCAGGTAGGCGGTCCAGTGGCATGTGATGAGCATGTCCCGGGAGGCAGCAAAGCAGAGCCAGGCAGCATTCCACACAGCCCGGCAGTTAGAGTGTTACCCATTTCCGTGAAGTGTTAGGACTGGAGACCAGGCTGCTGTGACAAGGAGTCACTCACATCAGACTTTGAGCGGTGGTCACCAGTCAGTGTGTGTTGTGGGCACTTACATTTAACCTTTACTTTCTAGGTTCATATATTGTGTGGTAGTACTTGAGATGAGAAAAAAGAACAAATGGTGCTTGAAAATATCTGTAAGCCAGGGTCAAAAGGCCAGCAGAGCTGAGAACAGTGAAGTTGATCCTCCTTTTGTGAGTCCCGGCATAGCCGAGTTGTCTCCCCCACCCTGATTGACATTGCTTTACATGTTTTTGCAGGGAGGAAACTCAGGCTAAGAAAGCTTAGGTCAGGGTGGTACAGGAGCCAAGCTCCAGTCTGTGCAAGTCTAACCCTACACTGTGCTGCTGCCACAGAGAGAAAGAAGCAATAGGAGGTAATAGGCAAAACCAAATGCCCTAGGAAGTGGAGCAGAATGAGGCGAGATTGAGCACATTCTAAAGGAAAGAATATACTTACTCCACAGTGGGGTGGATGTGGGTGTGCTGGTAGAGGTGAAGAGGTGGCAGGCGGGCGTAGGGGACTTTGCACTTGAACTAACATGACAGTCACTGACTGAGACCAAAGGGAGAAGCGGTAGGGCAGAAACAGAACATAGATAAATTGGAAGTAGTCAAATTCTAGATGGCTGAGAATTCTGTACAGATTTTTTTTTTAATGAACATAAGACTTCATTTCTCTGGGATAAATGCCCAGGACTCAATTTCCTGGGTCATATTATAGTTGCCTGATTAGTTTTTTTAAAAACTGCCAAAATGTTTTCCAGAGTGGCTGTTACTGTACACACTCCATTCCCAGCAGCAGTGTAGGAATGAGTCAGTGTCCTCATCAGCATTTGAGGGCATCATCTTTTTTCTATGGTAGCCATTTTGTTGGATTTGTAATGGTGTTATCTCATTGTGGTTTTAATTTACATTTCTCTTATGGCTTATGATGGGGAGCATATTTTCATGTGTTTATTTATCTTCTGTATATCTTTGGTGAAACATCTTCTTATCTTTTGCCCATTTCCAAGTGGGATTGTTAGAGTTTTTTGTACTGTTGAGTTTTGAAATGCTTTGTAATCCTTTGTCAGGCACACGTTCACAGATGTTTTCTCCTAGTCCATAGCATGCTCCCACCCCACTGAAAGGGTGCTGAGAATTGAACCCAGAGCCAGGCAAGCACTCTGCACTCTTTTCATGCTCTTAAAATCCATAATCCTTTTTTGAGTTAACTTTTGTATGAAGTGGGGAACTTGGATCACAGTTCACTTTGAGGGCAGGAAGTTATTAGTTATAACCTCATTTTCCTTAATAGGGCTATTTACATTATCTGTTTCACATTAGATGAGTTGTAATAGTTACAGATTTTTGTAAAAGTGGTCCATTTTAACTAAGTTATCAATGTATATATGTAGCTGTTGGTAGTATTTTCTTATTGTGGCTTTTATGTGTGTAGGGTCTATTGTGATACCTCATTTAATTTCATTTCATTTTAAGTAGTTTGTATCTTGTCTTTCTTTCCTCCTAGTTTTCTTTTCAGTCTTGCTAGAGGTTTGCAAGTTAACTTTATTTTGACTTTTCTCTGTTATTTATCTGTATTATTGCATTGTTTTTGCTCTTTTTTCTTCCTCCTTAGGTTTGTTTTGCTGTTTTTTAGC